CCCCAAAACCCCAAAACCCCGTGTTTCCAACTTCACTAAAAATTGATGAGAATTGGAGATAATAGAGAAAAAATAAACAAAATGATTGATAAATTTAAATGTGATTTTGTATTATATATTAATAATTTCAACTTTATTTACTTATCGATTTGTCTACCTAAAGTATCTTTGAAATATGCACAAAATTTACTTACTTGACGGTCAACTGCCTGAAGATGCAACTTAGAAATTTACTTAAAAGAGAAGTATTCTTCGCAATTCTATAATTCTTTCACTTGGACTTGCAATTTCTTATGCCATATTTTCTCAACCCCAAAATTCTGCTACAAACTCGGCTAATGGTACTCAGTCTCTATGGTTACATGAACCCAAGAATATATTTTAATGGAGTGATGCAATAGATTCTTCAAATTTAAGTTAAATAGTTGACATCTTATCCTCTCCATCAGGAGATCTGTTTGGAATCACAGTAAATGAAAGCAATTATAGATCAGTCTATAAATTCAACATTCTAGATGGGAAATGGTCTCCATTCGAATTATAATAAATTTAAATAAAAGATATCAAGTTTGATAAAGCTGGAAATCTCTACCCACTTGATACCTAGGGAAATTTGTATGCAAAATCATATGATTATTATTATGTTCTACTTAAAGAGATTTTGGATTTTGAATTTACATCACAAGGATAAATCCAAGCGATATCTTCTGCTACTAAACCTTAAGATTCTGATAGTAAATTTTATAAGAAGCTAGAAATAGGAAGAACTAATTACATTCTTTATTCACCTTAGAGTTTATCAAAAATTGCAATCAGTAATGACAAACTTATCTTTGTTGATGAAAATAGCACAATAATAGGATATGGCAACAAATGTATCAAAGACCTCACTTCAGGAGTAGATGGCAGCCTATGGGCCTTGAGTTGCAAATAAAATAGTGAATTAACTGATTACTAGCTTATCAATTGGGACCCAATAAGTAAAAAATGGCTAGAAATCAACAACACATTCGGTGTCAAGATTGCAGCATTCAACGAAATATCAATTTCAATCCTCAATTCTTTAGGATAAATTAGAATTTCTACAGATAAAAATAGATATAATAATGTTGAATTTTATGAAAATTTACTAAGACCATAACTTTTTGAAGACTCAGTGATATTAAACTCCACAAATCTTGGCTTTGTTCAAGATCTTGTATCTAAGAAAAATGTCTTCTCAAAACTTTGTTACAGAGCAACAATTAACGGATTTTAAGCTGAAAAATTCCACAAAGGCTGTGACTATCAAGGCGCTTCATTGACAATATTGAAGTCAAGCAAAGGCAGAATAGCAGGAGCTTATACATCAAATTCCTTCATTTAAAATTCATACTTTGTAAAGGATGAGAAGGCTTTTATTTTCTCATCTGATCTCTAAGTGGTTATCCCAATTAAAATCTAAAATCCAGATAATGCTCACCTTGGTGGAACTTCAACCGGTCCCACTTTTGGATATGGTAGAGATTTATATGTTTGCTCAAATTCAAATATCGTTGCAGACAGCTACAGCAATTTAGGAAGTACTTATTAGCTTCCTTAAGGATTAGAATAAGATAGCATTGAAGCAAAAACTTACCTCTTTGGAGAAGAGAAATTCTTGCTATCAGAAATCGAGGTATACATTCTTATTTGAAGTTAAAGTTATCAATATTTCTTTAATGCTATCTTGTTCGAGCACTTAACTCTGCTTTAAATAATGTAAAATGATGGTAATAGAATTTCAAAAACTATTTGAATCAGTTAATGAATATTTTTAACCATGCTTTGATCATTATTACTTGCTTTAATTTCTTAGCTCTTTTATTATCAATATTACCTATTGCATTAATCAATATATCTATGCCCCCCCAAATTCTTGCTATTTTATTTTGAGGGGTTTTGGGGTTTTGGGGTTTTGGGG